TGACTGCCCTGATTTTAACACTAAAATGCTCAAGTTGTGGGGGAAACTCTCAGCCCTGGGCAAACCAGGAGAGTTGGTCACCAGAGGCTGAATACACAAAGATGGAGAAAGGTGAATGGTAGGGGCTGCAGCTCCTGGACGGGCACCAGGTGCTAAGCCCCTGCTGGGCCTTACACCGCTTGTGCGACCCCCTCCTCATTGCTCTCCTCCCGAGGTTTTCTAGTCCTCGTTCCACAGCGGAGGAAGCTGAGGCTTTTGTCAGAAGGGATTGTCCACAGGTCTCACAGCTGGGAGTCCCTGGGGTGAACCCATGCCGATCCTTCCACATCAGGTGTCCCCGCTGCACCTCGCCGCACCTGGAGCACCCTTTCGTGATGTGAGTCATCACTCCACCACCCTGCTCCAGCAAGTTCTGAATTAAGACTCCTGAACTAGGCTTTCTGATGTCTAACTTAGCTGCTTAAGGGCTAGATGAGGATGCTGACGATGATGATGCTTGCTTCCTGGTTCTCATCTGATGATCACACTGGCTGGATAAGTGGCTTCCAGATAAGTGAGGTGAAAATGAGTTGTATCCTCCATGGCAGGCAATATCTGTCTCCCCATGGATTGATGCCCTTGTCCACCAAAATTGTGATCTGAACCATACTGACATTTATTGTGATTCCAGGAAATATATCCTTTGGAAATAATCCATTTTTTAAAAGCAGCAAAGCATTGCCTCTGTATTTTACTTGTAAGAAAAGGAATAAGGAGCCATTCTGAATATTATATTCCAGTTCAGTGCTCAGTAGCTGGTGTCGCCTGCCTGGTACTTTCTCCCTGATTAGTTCCCAGGGGGGTCTCACCAGCTCCAGTAAATCAGGCTTCCAAGAAGCCCCTTGGTTCAGGTTCCAGGGATTTCTGCCTTGGTAAAATCTTCAGTTCCGCGACCTCTTCTTTAAAGGAGGCATCTGCATCTATCTGGGAAATAGGTAGAATTTAGTTCTTCTTTCCACATGGAATTCAAGTAAAGATGAAGAGCAAGGTACATAAGAAATGACAACATAATGCCATTTGCAGCAACATGGATGTCCCTGGAGAATGTCATTCTAAGTGAAGTTAGCCAGAAAGAGAAAGAAAAATACCATATGAGATCACTCATATGTGGAATCTAAAAAAAAAAGAAGACGACAAAGGAACTTAAATATAAAACAGAAACAGACTCACAGACATAGAATACAAACTTGTGGTTGTCAGTGGGGAGTTGGGTGGGCAGGGACAGACTGGGAGTTTGAGATTTATAGATACTGACTGTATATATAGAATAGATAAATACATTTATACTGTATTTCACAAGGAAATATATTCAAAATCTTGTAGTAGCTCATGGTGAAAAACACTGTGAAAACAAATATATGTATATTCATGTATGGCTGAAAAACTGTGCTGTACACCAGAAATTGACACAACATTGTAAACTGACTATAACTCAGCAAAAAAAAAAAAAAAAGGTGAAGAGCAAGGTAAACTTTTAAACTTTAAACTTTGCTCACCAGATTGCTTGGTCTAATCAGGAGAATTTTATAAGATTTTTAAAACATTTTTTAATTGTCAATTTAAGCAATGTGAAAAATTGAAAATGATGTATAACTTGAAAAAGTTCTTTCACCATCCAGTCTGTAATAGAAAATCCCTTTTCACACAGCATGTATTACTCCAACATTTTTCTGTACAAAATGCATATACATTAGCATATATTTATACAAATATAAATAAGATCACAGCATACTGCTTTATAAATTTATGTTTTTCTTTGTTTTGCTTGTTCCTATTTTTTAATTTTTTTAAAGTAAGCACTTTCTTTTATTTATTTATGAGGGAGTAATTAGGCTTATTTATTTATTTATTTTTAATGGAGGTAGCGGGGATTGAACCCAGGACCTCGTGCATGTAAATTTATTTTTTAATTGAGTAACATGTCATAGACATCTTCCTTTGCCCACACAAAGCTCATTCTTGCTAATGGCTGCCTGGCATCCATTTTACAAATAAAATCTGATTTATTGGGCCAGTCTCCTTGAGTAGAACATTTGAGCCAGGTCTGAATATTGGTCTAGCCACTAAGTTCCTCTGGACTTGTTCTGGCATGATTTTAGCATGAGCTGTAGGGGTGGTTACACATTAATTCAACTTTTTAAACAGTAGACAAGCAGCTTGCCTTTACACTCTTGGAACTGTTGATTTTCCATCATTGCCATACCCCATTTATTCCTATTTCTGTGTGTCGGGCGGAGGAATTCTTTGTTCTGAAAACCCAGTTAAATGCCTGGTTAGTTTGTCTGATTAGGAGGAGGCTTTTCTGGTCAAAAGAAAATATAGAAACTAACAAGGACCAGTTGGCCAGTTTCCAGCTGTGTCGGCACCTGGGAAACTGGGCTTTTATTTTTGTTTGTTTTTCGGTATTGCTGTTTCTTGGGCCAAAGTAACAACTGCTCAAAATGGAGATCCCTAAGGCTATTAAAAGTACTGGTAGACACCCAGGAGGCTGGTCTGTCAACAACCTGGACCAACATGGTTAACAGAGGGTGCACATGTAATACACATAGTTGATGACCAGGTTTGTCAGTAGTTCTAAATACGGCTCCCCAGATCTTACAGTCATCACAATCCCAGCTGCTCATACTGGAGGTCAGGGAAATCAGAAAACATAGATAAATAGATAATAAAGTGATAGTCACCAAGTAGAGTGGAAAACCTCTGTGTTTTGAATCAGTCAGAACTGCATTCAAATCCCACCGTTGCCATTTCCCAGCTACATGGGCATGCTGCTGAGTCTCATGTCAAACAATAAAAGTACTGTTAAAAAAAACACCTAATGAACATTGAATATAGTAACAGGCACTCAAAGTCTTGACTAAACTATAGTTCTCTTTGCTGTGTGTTTTAGCTTTTAGATGTGCATAATTTTTAGCTTTTAGATGTGCCTAATTTTTCAAACCACCCAAGCAGCAACATTTCTATCAGAACGGCTCACCCTTCTTGCTGCTATAATTATTGGTATTCATTTATTCATTCAACAAACATTTATTGACCAATCACTATGTGTCAGACATTGTGTTGGGTGTGGGGAACACTGAGATGAAGAAAACACATAATTCCTGCCATCCAAGGGCTGACTGGGAACTTGACCTCTGTTTTCTTCCAGAGAGAGAGAAAGCATGAAAGCAAATGTGGAAAAATGTTAATAGGTGGTGAATTTAGGTGAGGGTGTATAGATATTAATTGTACTTGCCTTTCAACCTTTCTGTGAGTTTAACATTTTTTAAAATTAGAGTTGGGGAGAAAATATTTTTCTGTTACTTGGCAGCTGTAAGTCTTGAAAGCCATTATTACCTCCCAGTTTTTCGGCATGAAATCTGTCAGATTATCTCCAGTCACTTAGCCAAGCCTTGGGGACACTAGTGGGATATGCTGGGGATGGGAGAGGACAATGATAAAGGCCTGGAAAAGTAACAGGCGGGGTTACCTGGAGCCACACAGCAGGGGTCCCAGGGCAGCTGGGCACCCAAAGAGTGAGGGGCCCAAACAGGAAGTGGAAGTGGAAACCCGGGGGTGGGCTTGAATCCTGCTCCGTTCACTACCAGTCTCCAGCCAGCCCTGACCGTTGCTCTCAGCATGAGGGGCCATCTGTCACATTCTCTGCCCTCCACTGCCAGCCACCGACCTTTGATTTGAGCATAGAGGTTAAATATGTGAGCTTTGGAGTCGGAAGCGCTTGTGTGAATCTCCACCTTGCAGGGTGAACTTGGACAAGCTAGTTAATCATGTTGACAATGAGGTTTCTTATTTGTCAATCCTTTATAGAGTTGCAGTGGGTCATGTGACACTTTGCCAACACGGTGTGTGTAAAGCTGTTAGCACAGGCCCTGTGTGTGATACCTAATCAATCAGTACATAATGACACATACCATCTTAGCCAGTGGCACCACTGTTCATCTACACACTCATGCAGACACGTCCGCCTGATGCCTGTTTGCCTCGCCCACCTCCACATCTAGTTGTCGGCTTGTTCTGTCCTTCATTCTTCCAAAGGCATCCTCCAGACCGCCTTTCACTCTCTCCAAGGCTGTGTCTCCCTCTCTTATCTAGTCCCTGCAGCAGCCACCTGACTGCTCTTCCTGGTTCCACTCTGGCCCCCTCACCCCCAGGTGTTCTTTCTCCATAGCGACTTTCTCAAGCTTAACAGACAATGTCACATTCTCATCCAAGCCTTCCTCCTTCCCGGGGCTTCCCATCACCCTTGAGTAAAACCCAGCCCTGACCCTGTCTAATGTTCTGTACCACCTCCATCCCCACCGGTCACTAGTGCCTGTTTCATTTAAAGCGCTTGTTAGTCAGAATGATCTCGTGTGTTTATTTAACCCTTGTATATCTCCCTTATGCAAGGGAAGCTCTAGGGAGTAGTGAATAGTAATCCTGTATTTTGTTCACTGTCTTAGCTTGGGCTGCCCTAACAAAATCTACAGACTTGGAGGCTTAAGCAACAGAAATTTGTTTTCGCACAGTTCGGAGGCTAGAAAGTCCAAGATCAAGGTCCTGGCAGGGTTTGGTTTCCGATGAGAGCTCTCTTCCTGGCTTGTAGACAACTGCCTTCTCACTGTGACCTTACGTGGCCCTTCCTCCGTGTGTGCCCACGGAGAGAGAATGAGAGGAAGGGAAGGAGGGCACGTCCCTTCCTATAAAGACATTAATCCTATTGGAGCGGGGCCCCACTCTTAGGACCTCATTCAATCCTAATGACTTCCTTAGAGACCCCATCTCCATATACAGCCACGCTGAGGGGTTAGGGCTTCAACATAGAAATTGGGGAGGCTACAAACATTCAGTCCATAACGTTCCCCATTGTAGCATCATCATCGGAAACTAGAAGAGAACCTGGAATGTAATAGGCACTCAATAAATATTTGCTAAGTAAATTAATGCCTTATTGAAGTTCCCTTCACTGTAAGTCCATATAAGTGGCCCCACGTATAGCACTCCATCCCGCAGGTCAGGGCGTGTCCCTGTTCATTCCCCAGTCGGCCATCAACGCCACGGTGGAAGAGGACATCCTGCTCTCGGTTGAATACTCCTGCCATGGCATCCCCACCATCGAATGGAAGTACACATCCAGCTGGGGAGTGCAGAAGATAGTGGAGTGGAAACCAGGGACTCAGGCCAACATCTCCCAAAGCCACAAGGACAGGGTCTGCACCTTCGACAACGGCTCCATCCAGCTCTTCAGTGTGGGCGTGAGGGATTCCGGCTACTATGTCATCACGGTGACCGAGAGCCTGGGGAGCAGTCAGTTTGGCACCATCGTGCTGCATGTGTCGGGTAAGACCCCCCGGGGCCCCGGCACCTCTCTGGAACTGCGAGTGTGCGGGAGGCCGACTTCATGATATTAAAAGAGACGTTATCTTCCCCTTCCCCTCACCCTGCCCCGTAGAGATCCTCTATGAAGACCTCCACTTTGTCGCTGTCTTCCTTGCTTTTCTCGCTGCCGTGGCCGCAGTGTTAATCAGCCTCATGTGGGTTTGTAATAAGTGTGCGTATAAATTCCAGAGGAAGAGAAGACACAAACTCAAAGGTAATTCTCCGGACCTTGTGATGATCAGTTCATGCTTTAATGGCCAGAGGTGGCATGTGTTACCTTGTTCTCACCAAGCAACTACCCTTGGCCAGTGTGCAACTCGTGGATTTGTCTTTTGCTTTGCAGAGAGCACCACTGAGGAGATTGAGCTGCAAGATGTGGAGTGTTAGCCGAGGCCGAGCGCCGTCACATTCCTACCTCAAGAGGAAAACGTTCTTTTCCAACGAAAGGAGCAAACACGGCCAGGCCACCCCAGGGCCTCCTGTTCCGCCACAGCCGCCCATTCCTGATGGGACCGCTGGACATTTACAGAGTTGACTGCGTGGGGCTGAGGACTCTGGATTGGATGCAGTCATCTCTGGCACCTGCACGGAGTTCAGGGAGGAGAGCACTGGAGGCTGTGAGCTGAACTTGGCTGCGGCCTCGGGGCCATGTTGACTTGTAACCAGGGGCCCAGGGAGGGCCCTGGCTGTGGCCTCACTCCACTCTGCTTTGGCTAGGGCATGGCCGTTGGAGGGGTTCTTGGATCCAGAGTCAGAGTATTTCCAGATCAAGTGCACAGCCGGCTTCGGAACAAGCTCTCTGTGCCCCGATCTCCTCCGCTGTGCCCTCCTCCTGGGAGCTGCGTGAGAGCCTGAGAGGCAGAGGCAGAGGCAGAAGGGAAGAGACTACTGTTCTGTAACAAGCTGCTCAGAGCAGGAGAGGTCCCCGCCATGTCCTGGAGCTTTAGGGAGGGACCAGCACTGGAAACAAGGAATAGGCAGAAAATTATCTTTCTCTCCCTCTCTTGCTCCAACATTAATTGCATTTTCCCTTCTATGGCCCTGACTGAGGCCGGTGTGAGGAAAACAGTCCATCTCAACCATGGGCCACGTCTGGCCTCCAGCTGGCCCCCTGACAGGCTGGGTCGCGCTACCTGTGTGGAGGCTGGGCCTGCAGACTGGGTCGTGCAACGGGAAAGCCAGTCAGCGCAGGCTTTGAATCTGTCCCCCTCAGTCACTCACACCTCCTGCCTCCAGTCAGGCCATAGCTCGCCCCCAGCTGGGTAAGGAGCACTACCTCTCAGTCAGGGTATCAAGTGAAGCCCGCAGTAGCGTAAGTCGATTGAAGGAAAGCATGAGGAATCTTCAGGGGCCTAGGAAGCAATAAGCACTATACTGTCTGAGTCCTGGAAAATGGTGAAATGCCCGGGGGGTACTGGGGCTCCAGGTGAACCTGGGGACTGGATCCCAGCCGGCCGTGGTCCATAGTCTCTCAAGCTATCGGCTGCCGTGTTTACATGAGTTCATCCCAAGCTCTAAGGCAGGCGTTATTTTCCATTCTCTCCTCTCTCTCCAACATTCTTAGCTGCAAGCCAAAGGTACCGCCCCGATTGCTGGTGGAGGCTGAACTTAGAAGCTGTGTCCCCAGCCCTCAGCTGCAGATTCACCCATGCAAGCATGAAGGAGAGCTAGAACATTGTCTTCTCGCTCCCTTCAAGTCTCCAGTGTCCGTGTCTTTTCTGCTTCTCATGTGGCAGGTAAGAAGTTGCCTGGAGAAGCTGGCACGAGGCCTTTCCTTAAATAATGAACCCAGGGTTACAGGAAGGGATCTTTTGGAGAACTCGGATGGGAGCTGTCCGGGACCTAGAGCAGAGCTCCAGCAGCACTACCAGACTTCAAAGGCAAGAGATCAGTTATCTGCACAGCTGATTTGTAGCCCGAGCACGTGACCAGAAGAAGCGTTTCACCCCAGGCCACCTCTTGGACACACATGTATGAACACGCACACCTGTGCCCTCTCCATGGCAGCAGTCAGAGGAACCAGGCATGCGCCAGGAAGGATGGGTGACCAGTGCCATGAAGAAGCAGGGTGAGGAGCACCGGAGAGTAAAGGGGATCAAGGATAATCTGATGATTTCTTCTTCCTCTTTCACACAGAAAGCGCAGCAGCAGGAAGCTGGTTTGATGTGGGTAGCTGTTGCAGTCTGTCCTCTTGACACTGCCCGCTTTCCAGAACTATCCCTCTCAGCTTCTCAGAAGTCAGGGGTGGTCATTGTAATAAAAAGAGAAATAGAAAAAGAATCCCTAGTGAGAAAGCCCCCCTCCCCACAAACCCACATATAAATTAAATTCCACCCCCCAGTCTTCCTGAAAGGTTATTCCCTCAGCTTTCCATTCCTTTATTTTGCACTTTTAAAGCTCCCCCTGGTTTGAATATGCCTGGGGAGAGTTCTTGATTTTTGAGCCTGAGGTTTTTGCCTATTTTTCAAAAAAGCAAATATTAAATCATAGAGGTTTAGCCACTGTAATGTTCAACTCTTAAGTTATGTTTCAAACTGTGAAAAGAAAAATTGTTTTAAAGGCTGAAATAAAACCTGAAAATAAAGCCCTGGTCCTTTTTGTGTGAGCCCATCCCTGCGGGGAACTCAGAGGCCCTGGGAGAGGTTTCCATCAGCTTGTGACTGACAAACATTGCCAGCCACATCAGTAAACAAAGAACCTGCAGCCATCAAGTCATCAGCCAACCACTGCTGCCCCCGACGGTGAGCTGGAGGGAACTCTGGATGGAGACCAGCAGGCTGGGGCTGCCAAGTCCTCAGCCTCTGCAGCCGCGTGTAACAGTGCCCCCTGGGAGACTCAGGATGGGAAAGAACAGGATACTGGCCCTAGAGAGCTAAAGCACACATCAAAGGAATGATTTCAGTGAGCCCAGACTTTTGCACGTTCCTATACGTAGAAAAGCACTAAATTCCTTAACTTGAGATACGAGGTTTTCTTTAACAGTCATCTTCTGATGTTCCGACTACCTGCTCTTTGTTGCAAAAACTCTTATATCCTGGCTCCTCCCCTGCCTCTTTGGAACAATCTCTTGGAAAGATCTGAGAGGCTGCCTCCTGGGCTTGAGGTCCTCAGAATGTCTGCTGAATAAAAGGTAACTCTTAACTTGTAGGTTGTGCTTTTACTTCTCTTTTTTTCTTTTTTCTTTTTTCTTTTTTTTCCAGTTGACAAGCTGTAGACAAAACCCTCAGCCACAGCCAGGGGGCCTGGCAGATTTTTTAAAACGACAATGGACTTCATCACCTTGATTCTAACCATAAACATTCTTTAGCAATTCTGAAAAACAACACTTTATTAGCACCATTATTCTCCCCTGGATTGTAACCAGAAGACTGAAGTTTTTTGCTTCTAGAGTATTAACTGTAATTCAGTACATTCCTTCCTGCTTCTCAAAGGGCTAAAATGAGGATATGGTAGTTGTACCACATCGTTCAGTGGTACATAAGATGCCAGACGGAACTTATGTGCTTTGTCAACAGAATGTCCTCTGAGATTGTGATCTAAGAAACCGAAAAGGGACATATTGTTCTTCCCTATTTGATGGTGTTCTGGATACTCAAGGGAACAGGGAAGCCTTGTCCTCTGAAGCCCATGTGAGATGCTAAATACCCCACAGGACTTCATGCTCCATCTGCCTTGAAATCCTACCACACAAAGATGAGGAGCAAAGGCAGTGAGAGATAAGGTTATCAGGATATCTTGTTCCTTCAGGGGTGCAGGGACACGCCCTGAGGATCACTATAACAAGGGCAGAGAAGAGGCGGCAGGACAGAATGCTGGGAAATGAACCAAGGGGAGCCAAATATGATGGGGGCATCCCCAGGGTCCAGATACAAATGCAGCCTCCTTGACCACACTGGAGGGGAGGCTGGGGAAAAGGAAACCCTTCCTCTTAATCAGGCTTTATATATCCAGCACATTTCTTCTGCTCAGTTTCCAGGGAAGCCTGAGATGCCTCTAGTTTTATTAAAAGCAGAGCAAATCCCTGCGGCTTTTGATGACAGTCTGTTAACCCCAAAAGGGAAAGGGAAAAGATCCCAGTTCTTGTCATATCCGAAAGATAAGATTACAGATGGGAGGCGGTGTGTTGTGCAGCAGCAGATTTTAAGGGTTTATTTAGGAAGGGAAAAGCACACCCCCAAGAACGGGAGGAAAGGCCGCGGTCTCTGCCCCTTCTCTTGTACCCTCCCTCAGAGGTGGCCTTTTGATTGATGGACGGCTCTTGCCCCTCGAATGCTTAGTCGTGTTTGTCCCGTTTGCACATGTCCTTACCCGTCGTGTACATGGAAAAACCCATGGCGTGGCCTAAACTGTAATGTTAATTATATTACCATGAGCATTGGGTCACGTCCGGTTAGGTCCTTCTCGCTACCACATAGCTGTGGCTGTCAGGTTCTAACCGATTTCTTACTGGCACTCATTTAGAAGTTACAGTCCCTTTAGGCTGAAGGCAGGCATAACACCATCTCCCGGACCATCCTCCCTCTCCCCCACCGATCTGCCCGGTGCCCCTACTTACCTAACTACCTAACACGTCCACAGCTAGCTTCTGCTGAGGCGTGGTGTGTGTCTCCAATATGTGCGCCTCTATACACATCCGTCCCCATCCCTACTGTCAGCTTTTCTAATCCTTGACAGCATGGCTGCTGAGATCACCATTTCCACTGCCTGTTAAAAATTAGGTGGGCGTTTGGTTTAATTACAAAGATGATAAACCCTTCTTTAAAATTAAATGTTGACGTCTAAAGTGAAAAGTTCACCCTGCAATCCTGCTCAATAGTTAACTTTGCTGTTATCCTTCTAGACTTGCTCATACATATATGAACATACCAGTCTATGTATACGTACCACAATAAACATATTTAATCTGTTTTCTTCTTAGGCAAATGGGATTCTGTTATACATTTTACCCTGAAACTTGCCTGTTCTCCCTTATCGTTCCTTGGGCATGATTTCATGTTTCTACTTATCCTTAAACATTGCCTGCACAATGCAATTCATTGCATGGATACATTATAATTGTTTGTTCACTGAAAACTTTAATTTCAAATGATATTTACAAAAAATAAATAATCTTGGGTAATCAATCTTTCTATCACATCAGACTTGTTCCTTCAGCCAAGATGGTTTTCTCTCATTAACCAGTGTGTCCAACTCTCTCTCTCTCTCATGAATCGCTTTCTCTTTCAAGGAATTCAGTTAATTTTTAAAAATATTGGTGGGTTCTATGTAAAGTTTATCAGAATCTGTTTGGGGGAGGGAGAAAGAGCATTGCTAATATAAAATAAATCTGAAGTTTTAAGTTCAGGTTTGACCTTATCAAGTGTACACATAGGTAGATTAAATATTCTGATGCAACAGACCAGTGGTGGTTTTTTAAAATTTTTTATTGATTTATAATCATTTTACAATGTTGTGTCAAATTCCAGTGTAGAGCACAATTTTTCAGTTACACATGAACATACATATATTCATTGTCACATTTTTTTTCTGTGAGCTACCGTAAGATCTTGTATGTATTTCCCTGTGCTGTACAGGACCAGTGGTTGTTAAGGCAGTTCTGTCCCCAAAAATGCTAAAAGTATTTTCCCCTCAGGTACCTCATGGTTTGAAATTTTTTTTTTCATACTAAACAAATTGAACTTATTAAAATAATTCAGTTTCCTGTTTTTATTCATCAGTAATATATAAATGCCCATTTGAATTCCTGGTCAACGTGAGATTATCAGGAGTGTCACTTCAATTTCATGGTGTTCTGGCAAAGAAATCTGATGGTGAAGTTTAGAGGGCACAATGTATGGATTCCATAAGGCTTGTTACCAATCATAGATCACAGATCTCTCTTACTGCCTCTTTGGGTCCCAAAAGGGTCGGGTTGTAAAGAAGCTTAAAAGAGAAGCCATGAATAAATAGATTTGGGTGGAAGAGGAGATTCTGCCACTGGCCTCATCTCCTTGATATACTCACAAAACTGTCAGGAAGGTTTTCAGATTGTATGTTACTTTTCTATCTGAAACTTCTCCCTCATCTATCGAGTTTCAAGCCAAGTATGATGTGTTCCATAACAGTTCACAATCAGTGAACACAGAAACGAATACTGTGTAACACAGGAGTTTTTCTGGTGCCAAAGAAAGGGGAGTCAGAAAATTGGGAGTAGAAAACCTCCTCGGCCGTCTGAGCTCAACTTTTAGAGAAGTGAAAATGAGTGCCTGCATCTGGGCCCCGCTACCATACTGTAGTCACTGTTTCATTGGACATTCAGATTGGTCTGTTTTTCACTTTTACAGACCTCCTTGATAATCCTTACACAATGATCCTTGTGAAGTATGTCTATAGGATACATTTCTGGAAGTGAATTTGCAGATAGGAAATGGCAAACTTCAGAGCAAAGACCAAGCTCTGGTCACTGACTTTTTTTTTTCCAGTTGACGTATAGTCAGTTTACACTGTGTTAGTTTCTGGTGTACAGCATAGTGTTTCAGTCATACAGATACAGGCATATATTCCTAGATCACTGACCTTTGAGTAGCACTTGCATCACAGTACTTGCTTTTTTGAAGAGACAGGGTTTCTCAGTGGTGAACTGCCTATTATATCAGTTCCCATCCTAAAGTGAGAGTCAAAAATATTTGACTTTGGCCCTGAGTATGTAAGGCATGAACAACGAACAGGAGCAGGAAAGTGAACGAATGAAAGACAAGGCGCCGAGCATGGAGACAGGTCGACCACAGAGCATGGCTTTAAAAATGAACAGGAAAAAACTAAAGTCTTCCAGCTACAAATGTGCTCACTGTCTTTAGCATCTGTAAATGTGAATACAGGACATTCTAAAACACTTTCTCCTTAATAATAAATAAAGCTGGTATCTTAACCATTTTTCCAGCTTCTTAATTATTATTTTTTACTGAAGTAGATTTACAATGTTGTATTAGTTTCAGGTGTACAGCAAAGTGATTCAGTTATACATACATATATGTATATTTCTTATCCATTATAGGTTGTTACAAGATATTGAATATAGTTCCCTGTGCTATACAGTAGGACCTTTTTAAAAAAAATCTATTTTATATATAGTAGGTGTGTATTTGTCAATCCAAATTTACCCTTCCCTACCTCTTTGCCCTTCCGTAACCATAAGTTTGGTTTCTGTGTCTGTGAATCTGTTTCTGTTTTGTAAATAAGTTCATTTGTATTTTTTTTAAGATTCTACATATAAGTGATATCATATATTTGTCTTTGTCTAGCTTAGTATGATAATCTCTAGGTGCATGCATGATGCTGCAAATGGCATGAGTTCACTCTTTTTTATGGATGAGTAGTATTCCATTGTATAAATATTTGTCACATCTTCTTTACCCTTTCATCTGTCGATGGACACTTAGGTTGCTTCCATGTCTTGGCTATTGTAAATGGTGCTGCTATGAACATTGGGGTGTATGTATCTTTTCGAATTAGAGTTTTCATCTTTTCTGGATACATGCCCAGGAGTAGGATTACTGGATCATATGGTAATTCTATGTCTAGCTTTTTAAGGAACCTTCATACTGTTCTCCATAGTAGCTGCACTGATTTACATTCCCACCAACAGTGTAGGACAGTTCCCATCCTATACTTCTAATTGGCTTAACTTTTAAAAAAAACAGTTGCTTATATTTCTGCTTTGTATTTGCACAGCCCTATAGAACTTAACATCCATTACCAACCATATCTGGACCTTTGAACCACCCCTAAAGTTAGCAGAGGCATCCTTGTCCCCATTGTATCTATCTATCTATACCTACCTACCTACCTATTTGGGGATGGATAACTAGGTTTATTTATTTGTTTAATGCAGGTACTGGGGATTGAACCAGGACCTCATGAATGCCCTCTCTCTACCACTGAGCTATACCCTCCCCCAATCCCGTTTTTTACACATGGAAACAGGTCGAGAGGGTAACCCTGCCAAGCTGACATGGCTGAGCGGTAGTAGAGCCAACATTCGAAAATGGCTCTTTTGCCCAACTGTTACTTGGTGAGGGTCCAATTGGTTTTCTCCAACCTCTCTCCTAAATTCCATAGAACATCCTTCCAACTCCAGGTAGGTCAGGTTGAAACATTAAGCTGGAAAATGTAAATAAACACAAGGCAGAAGAGATGCTGGTGCTCAACTGAGCTGCCCGCCATTTCCCCATTAATTTTTACCTTCCACTATTCCTTAGGTAGGTAGTGACCATTCTCTAAATAGTGACTTAAGATAATGGGGAGAGGAAGGTGTGTGAAGAGCATGTTGGTCTTCAGTTAGCCTGGTCCTCTCAGATGGAAGTGTAAATGAGTGGGTGATAATATCTGTGCATGCATTCTCAACAGTCCTACCCAGTGTGGTCCCTTCACTGCTTCATGACAAGATAATCACAGAAACAGAAATAAAACATTCAAACATTTTTATGTTTGATAGCCACTTTATGTCTATTTGTAATAAATGGGGGGCTTTTATTTTTATAACTTTTTCTAGTAATTTATTTTACTGTATTATACCAAGGTATCAATCTGCAATGGATGGAAATTATAAAAACAAAAAACAAAAAAACAAAAAAACCAGTCCTTTGGAGAATGTTTGAGATTCACTGTACTACAGTGTGAGCCTCATAAGACTCCTTATGTGAGTAGAAGTGTAGAGGTTAGCTTAGTAAAATTAGCTAAGGGCCACTATAGCTTATGAAGCACTAGAAATTTTCAAAATAATTGCAGATTCATACCAGTCTTTTAATTTCTATGGATAGAAAGATGCAGTACCTTAATCAGAGGGAAAAAAGCAAACAAAAACTCAAAGGTATTATGCTATTTTATGGCTTACAAGCTCCACTTATCTTTTAAAAGAAAAAAGGTAGAGGAATACAAAGGCCTTCTTAAAAGTTAAAAGTTTGTTTCATACAAATACAAAATAACTTCTTAAAAGTTATTCACAGTCACCTTATAAATTATTAAAGGGATATCTTTTAAAAATGGAAAGCCTTACTCATAAGGAAATTACTACCTAGAGATTATTTATGCAAAAGGCCCATAAGCCTACATCTCTTATGAAGGGAAGTTCCTCAGACACTTTTTAGACTGGGGCACTATTTCCAAGAAGTTCATGTTATTTGCAAAATGTATTCCACTTATCCATTAGTATTTTCCCTGAGAAAAAGCTGAAAGCTAATGGAATAAGACAGGCCAAACCTTTAAACAGAAGCAGCAACCCAGGGCTGCTGGCTGAGGCTGGGGGCCGCCAGCAGCAGGGCGAGGCGCGCGTGGGCAGGGGCGTGGTAAGGGAGTGAGGTCACTCAGGTGGGAGAGCAGCCCGAGGTACAATCTGCTCCCCACGCCTGCAGCTGAGGAAAAGGGACTTAACTCACTAGTACAAGAGCTCGCTTTTACAGCTGTGGTGGGGAGGGGAGGACCAGCTCCTCGTGCTGGCATGCACTCTGTAACACTTCAGGAAAAGGATCTGCTTCCCTCAGTGTGAGGGAATTCCTTCCTGTAAGAAGGTTGGGTCTTGAAAGTGTTTATTCTTAAACAATCTTTAACAAATAGTGGAATGAGACAAGCTGATTAAAGACACAGTTCATTTAGGTTAAGAGCTCAGAGTGTCTGGAATTTTTAACCATATGCTTTATTTGATGTCAACATCAGAGGAATATTTTAAAAAGCAAATTCAAACCCATAAGTTAGTAACATTCCAAGTCAACTGCATAAAAAAAGTATTTTACATCTCTCCAAACTTGTGTACCCTATAAATGTACATAAACTTGTGCATTTCAAAGCACTTGTCACTTTTAAAGTGAACGGTCTCAAAATGCTAGGTAAACATTTGCTAATTATTACTTTAAAAAACAAGACTCCTTTGGAAGATTTCTCTTCCTTGTGCTTATAGTTGATCTGCAAACATTTCTCAAGTCAAAGTTTCTGGGAATTTCTCTGGAAAAAAAAATCTGGAAAAGTGCTCTGGAAAAAAATCATAGTAGACAAGGGCTAAGTGCAGACATAAGCAGCTCCATTTTATAAACAAAGTTTCGGCCTTCCATTTTATTCCACTGAACTTCTCTGAATGGTCCACGAAGATGATTCCATTTGCTATCTTGTAAAACATCACTTTTTGGAAGGTCTTTACACTGGTTACGGGGAAACTGAACCATAATCTTGCTGCCACTTTCAGGGCCATTACGAACTGTGGAGCAAAACCAAAATATTCAGTACTCATTTTCCAAGCTAGAAACAACAAAGATCACTTAACCTCATTTTCCATGACTATGAAAACCTTGTTTGTCTATCCACTTGGAAGGTCTTATTTACAAGTGCATTTTCAGTATCAGTATGCTAAAAAAAAAATCTACTAGATACGAGGCTGGTATACCTAGTCATGAATTACTGTTTGTAAGATGAGAAGTTGGCTTAGATAAATCATATAGTAGGTACATATTTTCAGAACATCATTTATTTTTTTCTGAAACATCTGCTAACCCAATCATTCAATGAGTTGGTTAATAAACACCTACTAAATGATGAAACGCAAATGTTCAAAATCAGGAAGGGAATGAAGGAAAGATTACTCTGAGTGAAAACTTCAAATTTTAATAAGGCTTTAGTATTCAGGAAAGAAAAGGGTATTTTGAAATCCCTATCAATAAAGACCTAGCAATGACCACGCCCGCAGTCACAAGCTGTGATCCTATGGGGAAGACTTTCTAATTACCCACTCTCTCAAGTCTTTATAGCAGGTATTAGAAAAGATTGCACTAAAACCATAAGCGCTCCGAATACAATTGTCAACTAGGTAGTATGCGTATATGCCCGTCAAAGTGCCCTACTCACAGTAGGTGCTTCATAAACCACCTCTCTGTGCCATCTCCTGACCATCTTTAGGGTCAGATATTATTCCTGCAATATTTACAGCAGCATATTTTAAAAAATCATTTCTCCATTAAAAGTTCTAAACTGCAGGAGCAACAATGCTGATGGCAATTTTCAGATACTCTCCTAGGAAAATGTGTTGTCAAGCAAAGCATTTTTTATAACTACTAGAAACAGGAGTAATAATCTGTTGTTCTGAGTAACAGCTATGACCAGATAAACGCTCAGCATGATGACGACATGAACTCACCTGTAGCAGAGAGAAATTACTCCTAAGTCTCTGTAACTACTAAAGCTAAATGTGAAGGCCCAACTCCCAAAGGTCTCTTGGCATTCAAAGCAGCAGAAAGTACCTGAAATAGCATAGTCGCCGCTCGGGGAGGCCACGGTGATGGCAGAGGCGTTGCCAATGCTCTCCACGGGCCCCAGGCCCACATGATTACTGAAGCTCAGCACCTGCCAGCCCATCACCTTGGCGAGCTGCTGGACTGCATGCACCTGATGCTGTGACATCTGTGAACGGCAAGGGAACTTCACTGACAACAGCATGGCTTTCCACTTCGCAGTGACTTGACATCATGACTGTAAATTCTCGTTGGGGTTTTCACTGCCTGGCACAGGAACCCCATCCTATGCGCGAGGAACTCTCCTCTGGGTGACTAGCGGGGGGAAAGGAACAGGACCCCACCTTCCACTGCAGAAGCTAAAATAGCCTGATACTCGCTTCCCTGTCCACTGGCAGCTGGAACACAGGCACATAACCCAAACTGGGCCAACGGGAGCCTCCCACCTGGATGACAGAGCGTGGAGCAACATTACAGCAGTCGCACGGCACGCTGAGTATCTTCCACTTAACCCCTTCAGGTCCACACTCCCCTCAACTCTGTCCGGGAGGCTGATCCATACAGTTACACTAACAGCTTTTGTAAATAGATCCTTAATAAACAGACCCTCCTGAAATTATCCTAAGTGAGCCACCGAATTTCCTGTTAAGACCCTGCCTGAGACACAGGTGCAATTCAGAGTACCTCCTGCCACCGGCGATGAAGGCAGACGTGTTGGCAAGGCATTCCCCTGGCTGTGGTTCTCACCATCCAGCTTCCTTTGATCCCAATCCATCTGCAAGCCTTATTCTCTGGACGGCCATTCAATTCTGGAAGCTACCCAACAGCCTCTCAATACATTTCTCTGTGTGTGCTTAAGCCAACCAAAGCCATTTTAGGTACAGTCAACCTAAAGGGTTGCGATGCCATACCTCATAAATGCACCTTATTTACTTGGCACCACACAAACAAGTCAGTATAAAAGATTATTGCTTCTACGGTGGGGAGTTGTCAGTATTTTAAAATTTTATGTGAAATGCAAATTTATATTTTATGTGAAAAACTTATTAGCATTTCAAAACCTACCCTTTCTCCTATAACTCCCACAATTCAGGATTGCAATGGGTTATGACAACTCCACAAGGCAGGCAGGAAAAATACTGTTCCTACTTTACGGGTGAGGAAAGAAAGGTCCAAAAATATGTCCAGTGTCCCAAAGCAAGTTTGTGGTGGAGCTGGTACTAGAACCCAGCACTTTCCGTCCTGTCCCTTAAGCCCTAACTCATTCTTAGGGCTTAAGATGAAAGTATCTCATTTATCACTAAGGAGACTGGTCACTACAATTTTGTATCTGATCCTCCTTACTCTAGCTTTCTTGGGTTAATACTTCTCCACTTTTATGTGGTCCCAGAGGGACTGTAAATCTTGGTAAATGTGAGAAATAAAAGTTTGATGGTCTCAGAACCAGTCCTTCATCTCAAATACAAACTAAGTAGAAACAAACCTAGGACAGTTATTAACACTTTCAGTTAGCCAGTAGGTTGTAAAATGTGCACTAGAAATTAGATAGCAGAAAAAAATGGCTTTTTATCATTTTATTTCTTACCTGCTTTGTTCTTTCAATGGTTACAAGAGAAAGGGACTCAAGACTTGTGGTCTGCAACTTTACCTGAGACAGAAGGAAATCCTGCAGCTCCTGCTCCTGATGAGACAGTGTGATTACTCTCCCATCTCTGTGTACGACTCGAATCTGCTCAACTCCAATATTCAACTGCAGCTGGATGGACCTTTATAGACACACATACTGAAGGTCAGCAGTGTTCAAAATTACCTCGTACAATGCCACAAACATTAAACCTTAACCTCACAGAAAAAGAATCTAACAGTAGTGAAAACCTACACCAACACCCATGGGGAAAAGTTTTCTTAGATTCAACGAAACTGTTGGACTCTCACCAAGCCACCACAGGACACTGAGCACCAGTGCACTCAGAACAATACAGGGGAGGAACCAGGGCCCAGCAGGAGCTGCTCCTCTTCTATGGCGTCCCTGCAGCTGTCAACATGGTGGCAATACGCCTTCATTGCTATGAAGTAAAATCCACATTGAGACTATGTGGGATCTGCACTGACTTAGAAACCTCATTCCTCACGGGAGCCACATTCTCCTGCAATAGGTTCACAGGCATGGTTTCTGGGATTCCCACAAGAAACACTGTCTGGTGGTAGAAGTCATCTGATTGCGGGAAATCCAAAGCCATCACTATCAGGTATATGTAATTCCTCCTAGTCTAGCTCCATTTTACCAATTTGGGATGATTTTTGCTGGTAACAGTGTTTCCTAGTAACACACATGTCATCTTTCCTTACCAAGTTACCAGGGTACTAGAGCTAGAGAGTTAACCCAAGGTCAAATTCTCATACAGAAAGAAAAAAGGTTTGTTAACTCTTTACCCTCTCCTGAAATAATCAGCAAACAAGTCAGAATGTGTACACTCTATTAAGTTGGCTTAGGTCAAACAAAGAAACATAGCCAATGAAAATACATACAGGTCAAAAAAAAAAAATACATACAGGTCACAAGACTTTTCCAAACCAATTTATAAGTTTTCAGCATATGACATATACAAAGAAACACAAAACTCCCCAAATCAAATCATCTAGATGAACAAATGCAGAAAATATAGCATTATCTCTTTCCACATTTGATAGTAACTTTTTTTTAACTTTGTTTTACAGCAGACGTTTCAGAATAAAACATTTTGTCAACTGTCTATATGAAATTGTAACTCTGATGAATTAATGTTTACATATTCCTTTCCAAGAAAAACATAAAACTCAGATGCTTAAAGGAAAAGATTTCTAAATCTAACCAAATTTTTAAATTCTCTTAAACAAAGGTGTCAGGGAAGAGGAAGTCATATTACTATTGATGGCAGCATACTCATGGCAACCACTCAGAGAAGGAATTTGGTAACAATAATCAAAATTTTAAATGACCCCCTCTTTTGACCCAGCAATTATGCTTGTAGGACTTTATTCTATAGATACATTTGTACAGATTATTTTGCAGGCATCCAACTAAAACGTTCACCAATGGAAAGCTGGAGAGTTCTAAGAAAGAGAATTACCTTCGGCTTTAAATACCGTGAGATGACCCGAGCTATGGAAGATGAGGACAAGGGCGTTCCTCACTTCCTTCTACTTCCTGTCCCATCCTGGTTCTGGCAAGGCTACATTATCACCAACCTCTCCTCACAGAAGTTTAGAACATTTACACTGCGTTCTGTGACCGTAATCCCAGTTGTTTGGTCTTAGTTCTAGATGTAAATAATTTAAAATTCAATGCTGATCAATTTTTTGCTTTTCTTCCCCTTTGCGCTCACTCTCTTTAACTTTTTATTATGGAAAATTTCAAACACAAACAAAAGTACAGTGTAGTATAATGAAAGCCGATGACCCCATCACCCAGACTTAATAGTTAAAAACAAATGCCAAACTTGTTTCATGTATTTCATACTTTCTGTCCCCCACACCCCCGAGCCACCTCCATTACTTCCTTAGGTAGAGGGGGAAGAAGACAGTGATCCAACCCACCACCTTTTCCTAGAGGTTTCAAGACTGATTCCCTTTGTGTTGTATACTCCTGTATTTACCACGTTTGATCTTTAAATCATGCTCATCTACTGTTTTTCACTTTAAAAAAAACAGTGAATTAAAACCTCCATACTAAAATCCAGCATTATAAATGTACTCTATTCCCTCTTCCTCAGGGTGATTTTGTTTCCAGGTGTGTTTTGCTCACTGGAGAGACCACTGTGTCTAGGTCTGCCTGAAATAAAGCAACGGAAGTTTGAAAAATAAAACATCCTCACAGACCCTGATAAAGGTTTGCTGGTGGCTCTCAGACTGACGTGGGGAAGGGGACTCAGCTCCATTTTTCCAGTGGTTACATTTCAAAGAGGCTCAAACGGAGGCCAAAGATGCCTTTCATGGCCACTAGCTAACTGTATTAACTTGTTCTCCCTCCTCCCCTCCGTTTTACTGAGATATAATTGACAATGTCATTGTACTCATTTAAAGTGTACAACATAATGATTTAATATTTGTATATGTTACAAAATGATCAGCACCACAAGTTTCATTACCATCCATTACCTCACAGGGTTACACACTTTCTTTTTCTTGTGATGAGAACTTTTAAGATCTACTCTTTCTGTTTTTTTAAATTGAAGTACAGTCAGTTTTAAGGTCTACTCTCTTAGCAACTTTCAAATATACAACAGAGCATTATTAACCGTAGTTACCACGCTGTACACTACTTCCCTGGAACCTGTAAGTGGAAGTCTGTACCTTCTGACCACCTTCACCAGCCCCCACCACTGGCACCACCAGCACTACACATCTGCACGTTCACTTGTGATTTACGAGTGTAAATCAAGTAGACTTTTTTCAGGATGCTGAGGACAAAAGTCATCAAAGACATCATCACCAGCTGGATGAGACACAAAACTTAGGCTGTTTCAGGCATACAATGAAAAGCACAGGCTCTAATATAAACGGCCCTCCTCACTTCACACGCTTGTGCCGGCCACAGCCTCCAGGCAAGAGCTGAGGTGGCCAGAGTCTGCGGGAGCGTGGCCGCTTTCTGCCCACGCTGGGGTCCAGGTTTTACGAGAGCTCAGCTACGTGACACTCCCCTAATAGAGACTATATTAGACATTCTTACCTCTCATTCCTAAAAAACACTCTACAGTTGATAAAATTTACTGGAATGCTATGCCACCCTAGCAAACAAAAACCAAAATCTTCATATACTCACTCAGCAGTATCAGTACATAAAAAGCAACTTAACATATTAAACACATAACTTATTTCTGATACTTACTTGCATATTTGTTCATAACCTTGTGATGTGATTAAAACTTTCACACTAGATTCATAAACATCATTGATATTTGACCAATGAGCCTGTATCTGAGGATCCTCAATGCGACTTGCTAAGCTGTCAATGGTTGCAGCAGCTCTTTTAAAGAAAAAAAGTTAAAACTTTTATAAAGTCACCATGTAAAATAACGAGATGATAAATCACTTATCAATTTTATGGATATTTGAAAACCAGATGAATACTTTTTGAAAATACCACCATTTGAAAAGCAAAGATTTTAAAGGAACGTTGAGATGCTGCTCTGATGTGCTGTTTCTCAACTTCGCATCACAATATATTCTCATGAGAAGTTTATTTCCTTTTAACTCCATTTGTTTCCCCCACTCGAAAAATCTTACCAGAACACAAGTGAGAAGGGTACTTCTAGGGTACTAACCTCAGCTCTATAAATATAAATTATTCATAACTAGCATCAGTTCTTGATCCCTGGTAACAAATGACTTGGGACATACCCACACCTGAGACCCATTACTGTAATGGAATTACAATCATTTTCAAGAGAAGCTAGAGAGACTTATTGCATAATTAAAACCTACACTCCAAAAATAAACATGTAAGTGAGAACTAAGATTCATCAAGTGCTAATTATATACCAAATACTGTAATAACTGCTTTCATGAATTACATCATTTAACCTTACTCACACAGTAAGAGATACTACTGTTATCTCCACTTTTCAGCAGGTAAAAAAGCAGTTTAGCAACGCTGCATAACTTGCCTGAAGTTACAACAGCTGTTTGGGGCACAAAACCTGGAAGCCTAACTCGAGAGCCAATAATCTCTCCTTTATATTTTATACGCACTAATCAACAGCCCCTGCCTAGAACCAAAGCATAAGTCATGTAAGTTAACCAAACTGCTGGAGATTTTGTTTTTAATATCTGATTATAGCACTTTATCGGAAAGAGAAGGAAAAGCCAGGAGGAAATGAGAATAGCCATTTGCGGACAAGGGGCTTTTACATCAACGGGCTCGGGCTCTGCTCTTTTATCCTGCTTCTGCTCTAGTACTGGTTTCTCTCAATCCAGTCTTTTTTTGGGGCGGGGGGGGGTTAGGTAATTATTTATTTATTTTTAGAGGAGGTACTGGGGATTGAACCCGGGACCTTATGCATGCTTAGCACCCACTCTACCACTTGAGCTATACCCTCCCCCCTCAATCCAGTCTTAATTTTCTCTTCTGTTTGTGATTTGTTTCCCTAGCAGTGCTTCAAAAATTTCTACAGCAGACAAAAATGTGCATGAGTGTTCCTCTCAGGACTACGTCTACCAACAACCTGGAAATTTAAAAATACTTAGCAACTGAAAATTGGTAAAAGAAATAGAATAGTCACATAATGGGATATTACAAAGCTATTAAAGTATCTTTGAAGGCAGTGTATAAAATTTTATATCAGATTTGTTTGTAAAAGAAGAGATACACATGCCCTGACACGTACCCAGCTGACCCATGAACGACGGGCCTGAATTGCACGGGTCCGCTTACACAAGGATTTCTTTCGCTGAATACATACTAAGAATCCGTGGTTGGTTGAATCCACAAATGTAAAACTTCAAATAAGGAGGAACTGCCTGCACAGAGGCCAACCATAAGTTATGCTTGGATTTTTGACTGTGCAGAGGGTCAGCACCCCTAATCCCTGTGTTGTTCAATGGCCAAATGTGTATCAAGATACATGAATATATTAATAGTAAGTCTCCCTGTGTATAGCAGTAAACAGATGGATTGATATATTTCTAACATTATTTCTATACCAAGGGGGATAAATGGGAATATTTTTAAAGCTTTGCTGCTTATAAATCCTGATTTTTAGCTGTGTAATCTCCAGTGAGTTGCACAACTTTTCTAAGCTTCAATCTTCTCATCAGTAAAAATGGGTTAACAGGATCTGCCCCAGAGAATAGGGATTTATAAGTCAACATATGGGAAAGTGCCTTCCAAAGTCCTAAAATGTGCGACAACCAAAAAATACAGAAAGCTGTAAAAAGTTTAAATCAGTTTAGGGATGAGTATCTCCTGGGTGGGCTGAAGTATGGTGTTCTAAGACACATTCCTAGACACTCACCTTCCAAAATTCTGGGGCCAGTGTTAAAAATGATGTATTATGTTACATGGGCAATGGATCTGTCTTCCCCAAACTTTACAGGACCACCTATGACCATAAACTCTTATACTGTAGCCACCTCCCTCTCCATGAAAAAAAAAAAAAGATTAAAACATGTCAAAAATAACGTACATCAGGTAACAGATAGAGGAAAAAGGACTGCAATTTCAAAGAAAAACAGTTTGTTCATCCTTACCTACTCCTCAGAAATATATGCTTTGCTTGTTTAATTATTTTTTCCAGAAGCCCTTCACTTGATTGTATTGAATTAATTTCATTTTTATCAAAAGCTTGAGGACCTGAAAGTCTCATTCTCTTGTGGCCGAAAGGTGCACTTGCTGGATGAGGCATCGTGATGGAACTTAGGGTCTGTTTGTGAAACTGTTAACAAGAATAGCCATTTTAAACAACCAACACCCACATATTAAGTACTGCACAATGTTCAATCAAAGCACGGCTCACATTTTGGAAACATGAAAGCAATGGATGTGAACTACTTATAAAGGCAGTCTTGGCACACAGATAAATGCTAACATTTAGTCAATGCTTGATTTCAGTTTGCAAAGAGAAGGGTCCCTCTCAAGCTGCAGTTTTTATTTTAAAAGTTTTAAACTATAAAAACAAATATTCTTCAGTAAGTCCCATCAACAGAACACATGCCAACAGTAGACAGTCACTCCACCATACCCTAGATTAGAGGTTCCCAAACTTGGCTACCGATCAGAACCACTTGAGGAACATAAAAAAATGCTGATTCTTTCACCATCACAAAGAACAGAACTTTTGGGGTGAGGCAGGGGAGGCTGGAATATGTACTTCTATTGAAAGATTCTTGGAGGATTCTTTTGAAAGTAGCCTAACCTGTGAACCAGCACTCTGGAAATACAGTTCCAGATGACCTGTATATAAGTAGAGTATGTCCCCAAATAACTCAACTAGCCACCCAATCAGAATCATCTTTTAGCATGTGTTTCTGACACCCCTCTGTAACACCTGTGGTGTATTCCTACTACCGTTAGCAGCTATGCTTGGGAACAGGACTGTATTCTCATCATCCCTGAGCCTATGGCAAGGACCTTTCACATCACAGATAGCGAATGTCATTGCCGTATGAAAAATGAGGACTCAGCTGAGGGGAGCGTGCACACATTCACTGCCCTGGATACGCTTATCACAATGCAAGGAAAAACATTTGTTTCATTACCTCTCTAATGAGTAGATGCAAATTATGCTCTAGGACATAAAGATGGTCCTCTGGACTTTGCTTCTCAGTAGCAGATTTTTGGGATTTCTTGTCATTTGAGGAGTGGCACAAAGAAATAGATAACTGCAAGCCTGTTTATAAAAACAAGTAGGACAGATATAAACAACCTGAAATATGCAAAGGCGCAAACTGTCTTCATAAAGTCCAATCACAGCCCATGCTCAAAAGACACATCCTGAACTTGAAGAGGACACTCCGTGATTAACATTTTTACACCAAAATGACTACTCATGAATATAATAAACTACCACATACTTAACAATTCAAATTCTGTTGACCTACAGTGTCACTGCTGACCCTGAGCTGTGCCTAAAGACAACTGAACAGAAGCTATATATATTAACTAATTTGTTTCTTCTTGCTTTTAAATTAAAAATAAAACAAAACACAAAGTTAATATCTGGTCTTACTGACCAGAAGACAGATGTTCTTCCCTGCTCCCATAAAAATCAGGATGAAATTTTTCAGTCCTAAAACCCAGTCCCTTGACAAGATCTAAGAAGATACTCAGAATTTATGTAAAAATACAAGTGTAGCTAATTACAAATTGATCTCTAGGGTAATAAGTCTGACTGCCTTTGAATAATATAGTTAAAATCCAATTCCACAAATTTAGAATTATGGCTATTTAATAAATTGAGCATTTTCTAAACAAAACATTAATTAGAAAAGATGCATGCACCCCAATGTTCACAGCAGCATTATTTACAACTGCCAAAATGTGGAAGCAATGTAAATGTCCATCAACAGATGAACAGATAAAGATGTGGTGTACATATATACAGTGGAATACTACTCAACCATAAAAAAGAGTAAAATCTTGCCATTTGCAACAACACAGATGGCCTTAGAGAGTACTATGTTAAGTGAAAAAGTCAGACAGAGAGAGACAAACACTGTATCACATCACTTACATGTGGAATATAAAAAATACAACAAACTAGTGAATATAACAAAACAGAAACACTCACAAATACAGAGAACAAATTATGGTTAACTAGTGAGGAGAGGGAAGGGGGAGGGGCAAAATGGGGGTAGAGGATTAAGGGATACAAACTACCATGTATAAAACAAAAAAGCTACAAGGACATACTGTACAACATGGGGCATACAGCCAATATTCGAGAAAACCTATAAATGGAATATAACCTGTAAAAATTGTGAATCACTATGTTGTACACCTGAAACTTCTATGATATTATACATCAACTAAACCTCAATAAAAAAATAAAAATTAAAAAAATTAAGCATTTTCTAACTGACATCTCATTTAGACAGTAAGATAGGATCCCAAAATCTTCCATAAATGGTGTTAGCATGGATACCTCAGAGCAACTGTTACTGAGTAATAGCCTTGCTAGTGCAAGTTTTTCACATTTATTGTTTAAAGCCCAGTAGTGACCCTCCTGAGGACACAGAGCAGAGTCAGCAGTGCAGGCTGTGCTGCCCGCTTCACTGTTACAGAGGACAGCGTCCCACCTCTTTGCTCTTACTGTTGCTTCAACACATCCCATGGCTACCCTTTTTGTCCCGATCCCAACCCACGAAGTCTTAACTACAAATCTCAAAAGGGCAGGCTGCTCTTACTTGGAAAGGGCTGAGAGATAATCTGGTTTTTCACCACAATGTGAGGGATCTGTGATTTAATTTGAACAGCTTCCCGAGAGAGCTGTGCAAAAATTTCTTTACATAATAGAACATTTTGTGCTGCTTCTAATTTCGTCTGCCAGTGTGGGGAACCTGAAAGACAGGGAATGTATGTACAGATTAATTATCTAGTTATATTAGGCATCAACTAGCTTAAATGATGATCTGAATACCCACGACAGAAGTTCAGAAAACATCATATGACAGCACATCCTTTCCAAAATATAAAGATTTTACATCTTTCACACAGAGAAAACTGGTAAATAAGTTCAATCTTTAAAAAAATATTGCACAGCTATTCACTAATAGTTAATTAACAAGTTATAAATACATTTCCAATTGCTCTTACTTCAAAGTACCTATTTTTCCTGTACTCAGTTTATGTGTAAATGTAAGCTCAGATAAGACCAGAAGTTAGAGGACAGAACATAACTGTACCTGGTTTGGATTTAGGCAAAGGTCGTTTGAAAAGGTTAACTGTGCCCAGATCACCTATGTCTGGAGCCTGTTTTTGAATTGAAACCTATGTGACAATAGTAATACAAAAACAAAAACAGAAAGTTAGCAAATTAGCCTCTAGGCTATTAATAAGAAATTATTTGAAAAATACTTTGACAAATACCTTGATATATGCAGACCCTTCTAAATCACTAGGAATTTGGACATCAAGAGGACAGTAATCTTCAGGTATCTTCTTATCCAGGTCAATATCTGTATTCTTTATTACTTCAAATGTACCATGATGGGGAAACAGGGATCCTAATGGGGTGTTACAAATAGGAAAGTCAAAAACTGTTAACACAATTTAACACAAATTATGAAGTATATAATAACACTTCACATACACATCACTGAGGCATTAATTAAGTTCCCACCAAAAATGTGTGTTTCAGGGCAAGGGAGAGGCGTGGTAAGCAAAAGGAAGAAAGGAAGCAAGAGAAAAGAGTTATTTAACTTCAAAAAAAACACACCTTAGTCTAATGGCATCATTATAGTACAAACTCCACTGTCCATCCAAACTATTTTATTCCAATGGACTTTTGACAAAATTAATATAATTCTAGAACATACTTCCACAGATAAAATCTTTGGAGATTAAATACTTCTGGAGCTCAGTCTCTGTAACAAGGTTGCAACTGAAGGGTTCTGAATTCAAAAACAGAAGGACAAAAGGACACTGTATACACCACTCTCTTTTTCAACCAATTCCTAGACTTTCATGTGAGGTCTTCCTGTATATGGCAGACGTTTGGGGAAGTGGTGCTGGGCTGCTGAATTATCTGAGAAATGGATAGTTAAATGTAATGTTAAAACAAGGGAAGATGTTCAAGATTTTCTTCCAGTTAAAACCAGAATGTAATCAAATCCTTTTATAACACAGGTGACTGTCTCATAGAAAGAAATTCGGTGAAGTTCTTGAACGTAATTATTTGTTGGGAAGAACTCACAATGTCCAGAGCCAGAAAGTACTGCTTCTACAGACTACCTATTAAAATGTAAAAACGTCTTGTCATCTTCATTCATCTTTGTGATGAAACGTGACCTTCAGAACTCAGAACTTCCCAGCTCCCATCAGCGCTGAGGCACGGAGGTCCTCTAGTATTTGACTTAACCACCTCAACCTATCTTCCCTTAATTTTAGGGTAAGGATGGCTTGCTCTGGCAAATGAATCCTTTAAAAAAATCACTCAGTACTATCGTTATCCCTGTGACCACAGCCAGCGTGCCTTGCTTTTTTTAATCCCTTGACATTCAAAGTTCTTACCCCGTCGAGCTGTGAATCTTACAAACTTCTGCTGTCTAGCTCCTCTCAATATACTTCAGCAGCTTAAAGACTACCATAATTACATCAGGAATCCTACTGTTACATATTACAGCTCGACAACAAAGAATTTATACCAAAAGATGTAAATTCAAGATATCAAACTCTGGTATCCTCCAACGAAGGATACTCCTAACCAAGCGCTGCAGCCTCAGTTGAAGGGGGAAAAAGCAGGGCGAAGCGTTCTCATCATCCTCTCTCTTCACCCAAGGCGTGACAACAACTTAGCAGACTCAGGGAGAAAAGTAGAATAAGGAAGAATAGAAATGTTTCTTTTCTCCTGTTATGCCCAGTTTTTAAGGACTAAGGGTAAGCGCCTGATTTAGGAGTCTAGTCCTACCTCCTTGTTCCTAACTAAAATGTCAACTGTGGTTCAAGGTGTGTTAGCACATACGCCCTGCCTCTGAACTTTCTGTTAGGCGTATCTAACATGTTTTCAAATTGAATATAAACTATTTATAAAAAGGTTATGATAAGTGTAATTTTAACTTTTTCGGACTTATGTATACAGAAAATAAAAATTCAAAATGTAGCATAATTGAGAAACAATTATTATAGAAGAATATATAACATTACAATCAACCCTTTATAGTTTTTGACAATAGTTAAAAAGCAGAATTCTTTCTAACAATTATCTATACCTGCACTTCTATAGCTCAGATCTCCAAGAATCTTATCTCCAACTTTCCGAAGCTTCCAGTGTTGCCTGAGTCTCAAAAGCTCAGAGTTGAAGTCTCTCTGCAGCTTGTTTTCTTGGTTTTCAGTAACTGACTTAGTCAGTCTTTCTGCCCCCTTCAATAGGATTTGTGCTGCTCCAGCAAGTGACTTCTTTTTAGATATCAACTGCAACGTCTGAGGATTCTACAAAAACAATCCCCAAGTGCAGTTCTGTATTATTTTTAAATGATTTCAAAATGATACATTTTCTCAAAATACCTACTCAAGACAAAATGTACAAATTAAAGGAAAGCAAAGAGAAGGGGGAAAGCACATACAACAATGATTTTTTAAAAAATAGTAACCTTAACTTATGTCTTTGGTCAACTCAAATAACGGCTTGTAACAAACCAAAAGACCTATAACTCGGAACCGACATGGCATCAACCCCGCCCAGCCTGGGTCAGGTGCCCTCTCTCTCCTGCCATTCCTCTGTGTATCCTGCTCTCCACCCCACCCACATGCACACCCTTTCGAGGCACTCATTATACTTCTGATTAAGGTCTATAATCTCTGCTTGAATGTCACCTATGTAACAGTGGAAACCACTACATCCACAGACCCAAGAACAATACCTGGCACATAACATTTGATTTAATAAATAAAGAAGTGTCTCCAATGAGTATAGCCATAAAATTATCTTGTATTACAGCAAGCCACTAAAGTGCCTTTTGAATTAAGTCTGAAGTTATGCAGCATTAATAATAATGTACTTCACTGAATGCTGATTTTTGGAAAACTGATGAGAAATCAAAATCTATGTATTATATATACATACATAAATATCCATAATCACTACCAATTTGTGTAGACATACTTCCAAAAAGTCAAGTTTAATAAAATGTTTTCTGGCTGTATAAGAGTCAAAATAATAAAGTTTCATAAAAAGTGTCACAGTAATTTTTTGACCATGTTAGGGAACCTAATCCTGAATTCTTGGAGAACTCAAGAAACTCCCAAAGACTGTTTGGAAAAGGCACAGAATGGTGGGGAAGGCGGTGGTCTACGAGTGAGGGGCTGGAGGTCACATCTTGCCTCTCTAACCACTGGCTTTACTCCAATCTGAGCACATCCCAGATCTCTCTGGACCTCAGCTTTCTCACTGTAAAATGAAGGAAGCAGACTGAACGACCTCTAAATCTTCCAGCACAATGTTTCTGGATTCAGAAACTTTTACCATGTTAATAATTATATTCAATTAACTTTATTTACAAATGGGTTCTTACAACCACTACCTCCTCTCCATGCCACCAACTCGGTCATGGTCTGTGCTGGTTTTCCTTAAGCACCGACTTAGTGACCTCCCCGATTTCAGACTCTCCATCACCAAGTCATCTCTCTGCTGCCTCCCTTTCATTTTCCAATGTTCAAAACTGAATACATTTCCTCAATCTTAACAACTCTACCTACCTTTAAATATCCTCCTCCACCATCCGGCCATTCTAACTTTTCTAACCAGGCCCTAAAAAGTGGTATGGGGGTGGGAGGGAGAAGACTGAGACTGAGAGAGAGAAATAACTTGTTCAGGGTCACAGTGCTAGTGAGGGCAGAGTCAGGATTTGAACCCAGGTCTTGACTCCAAAGCCCTTTTACCATTGTACTTTTGGTAAAAGGTACATATTACAGACCAAGGATCCAGGTTGTAAGAAATTTATTAAGACTTGGGAACCTTTAAAGTACTACATTATGAAAGAAATGTAACTCTTTGAGGGTCACAGGTATACTAATAAAATAACAGATAAAGGAGATGCAGTTTTGTGCCTTTGTTTTGAAATAGTCTGTCTTTAAATCTTTATCTGTGCTTAATTTTGCACAGAAGGAAAAAGGAACAACAGGCACACAGCCTAAAAGATGGTCCTGGGACCTAATCAAATGGCACCATTATTCAATGAGAGCCCATAGATACCTGTTTTGGAGGAAGTGCATCCTGAGAGACGGGATCAAGAGTCATAAATTTTTTGTCCCTAACAATGCTGAGAACATCATAGAGAACACACATCTCTGTCAGGGCACTTCTTAAATTGTTCCTCACTGAATCCCAAGGCCAAAGGGAAGGCTGAAATTTCACCAACCCTAAAAGGAGAAAGAAAACAAGAAATACACAGGTATTAGTTACACTGAATAGAAGACAGAAAGCTCGTGTAGAGGTTTAAAAGCACTAAAAGAAGAAATAATGAATTCTATTTCAAATTGTTCCCTCTATTATCCCATTCTCTCTACCCTTTCTTGAATCTTTAACATTTAAGCCAGAATTCATACATAGCAAAATAAATATGATATATGACTTCCAAAGTTAAATCTAACATTACAACATGATAGGTAGACATTCTAACATCTTGTTAAATTTATACAAGCCTTCTTAGTAACTTTCTTCCAGCTTTTAAAACCTAAATAATCTGCCCTCTTGGCGCAGCAGGCAGCACATCAGTCTCATAAAACCTAAATAAGTAACTGTGGAGAATTTCCAATACATATAAAGACAAAAAAAAAATGAAAGTAACTATAATGGTAGCATTCAGATATTAAACACTAGTAATATATCTTCTAACTTCGTAATCATTTTAAAAATTAAATTTCATGAACACTCACTATACAGAGTTCAAACTATAACAGAGTTACAGAGTAAAACGTGAAAGTTTTCCTTTATACCCCTCCCCTGATTTTCTCTCCTCCTGACACGCAATTACTATTAACCATTGCGGCGTACCCATCCAAATGTTTTTCTACGCATTTACATATACATATCCCCGTTGTTCTATAACTTGCTTTCTGCCCCGCACCTCAGTCTGTCCTAGAGACACTTCCATGTCAGAACATACAGATCTACTTCATTCTCTTCACACTGAATGATATTCTGGTGCATAGATGTACAGTAAGGTTAACCATTTCTGTTTAATGGACATGTAGACTGGTTCCAACAATGCTAGTAGTGGTTAACATCTTTAACACAAATCTGTGTATAGGTCAACTTTTTCTGTAGGTTAAATTTTGAGACGTGGTATCAGTGGTCCAAAAGAGATGCATATTTAAAGATTATGACACATACTAAACTGTAAACTGTCTTCCAGAAAGGTTCTACCAATTCACCCTCCCAACACTGGAAATGAACAATCTCTGAAATTTCTACCAATCTTACTCATGAAAACAGTATCCTAATGATGATTTCATTTTCATCCCCCTACCAAAGAGATCTGAAGTCTTTTCCCTGTGAGCTGTTTATGTATCTCTGGCCTAGTTTTCCAATGAGTTCTCTTTTTCTTTTCAGTTTGAATGGACTCTTTGAATATCAGGGCTATCAACCACTGTGTGTCATATGTGTTGCATATACTTTTCCCAGTATGTCATTTATCTTTTTACTTTGTTTATGGCATCTTTTCCCATTATTATTTTTAAATTTTATGTAATTAATGTACCTATCTTTTCCTTTCTAACTTCTATGTTTCCTAGCTTGCTTAAGAAAGTCTCTCCTACTCCCGAAGTTATGTGATTATAATTTCTTCTCAATATTTTGTTTTATTCTCTCCATGTGCATTTCAATCTTTGTAGAAATACTTCTGTGTGAGGTATGAGGTAGTATTTACCTTTTATTCCCAAATGGGTCCTTAATTGTCCCAACACCACTGGCTTGAAACCCTTGAAATTTCCATTTCCACGGGGTTTTTGCACGTAAGTAAATCAAGAATTGTTAATATGTTTTATTCTTGACAATGAGAATCCAAAACCACTCATACTTTCCCGTAGTTCTCTAACTAGTTTCGTATTCCCTATAATCCCTACTGTATATAGCACCCAGAGTAATGGTTTGCAAACAAAATCATCTGTCTACTTAAAACCCTTCCAAAGCTTTCAGTTGTCCTTCTAATAATAGCCAAATGCTTATCCTGGCCTGCTGGCACTTCATGATTTGGTCCCTGCCTCCCTCTTAGATCTTATCACATACTCCAGTCAATACAAATGTTTTTGAAGTAGGTGTTACTATTATCACCCACCTTGCTTGCACAGGGAAACAAAGTAAATCGTTCGAGGTCACATAGCTAATATAAGACAGAGCCGAGATATGAAGTACAGGGCTCTTAACCTGAGCGTGCCATACTGCAGACGCTCTATTAAAAACTTAAAACAATTCATCAGTGACAGTGTCTCTCAAGTGCTCCCACTCAAAGAAATATGCATAAGAATAAGGAGTATTAAGAGTCAAGTAGTGCCGAGCTAATTTTAAAAGTGCCCAGCTATCAAAAAAAAAAAGATGACGAGCACGACTGCTTTCAAAATACTCCCACGCACAGCATCTCACCTGGCACAGGAGAGGCAGAGTGACACTACCTGGGCGGGTACCGGGCCCCCCAGACGGGCCCTGCGGACTCGAGGAACAGACACGGGCCTTACCTTCCTCGTCGTCCTGGTCCGCGCTGGACCCGGCGCCCGCCCAGTCCTGCGCGTCGCCCTCGGCCCCCGCCGCCTCCTCCTCCTCGGAGCCCGAACCCTGGCTGAAGTCGATCCGCTGAGCCAGACGCGCCAGATTCTGCGACATGGACAGCGGCTGCAGGTATGTCTCGGTGCCATCCAGGCCCACCTCCTGGACCTGCTTCTCGCAGGCCGACTCGATGCTGATCCGCACAGCGCGCACCCCCGACATGCTGGCGGCGTCTCCAGGGCCCCCGCGCCAGCCGAAAATTGAGGGAGGAAGCAGGGGCGCCTCCGCAGGGAGCCGGGAACCCGGGAACTGCAGCCTTGGAGGACCCTCGGGAAACCAAACGCAGCTTTAGAGCCGAAAACAAAGGCCAGAGCGCTGCGGTGTTCCCAGAATTCACTGCAGGACCCTCCGCCCACCCCAGCTCGGAATCTCACGGAAGGAAACTGGCAGGCGCCTAAGCCTCGCACTTCCGGCCGAGCGCTTCCGGTAAATCCTACTGCGGCGTCGAGAAAAGCTTCCTGGTCTGTAAGAGGCGTGGCCGGAAGTGGTAGAGAGGGGGCCCAGGTGCAGAGAGCGGGAGGAGGCAGGTACCTGGCGTTCTACGTTTTAAGGTGTTACGTGTTTGAAAGTGATGGAGGAAGGATGAAGAAAGCCGAGGACAGGTAGGAAGGAGGAAATGACCTTAGCAACGAGAAGCCCTCTGAGAATGCTGAGATTTGAGGGCTTAAACCTAGAGTAGAAACAACGTGTCTGAAGAGTTATGAAATGAGGGCATAGTTTGAGGAAAACAGTTGTGCTTAAGGCTACTTAAAATTATAGTGAATAATTAGTTTATTATCAGTTTTGCCGTTAGCTGTAAACTGCATGACGGCGACTCTCTCAGCAAGCACAATATCAATAAATTACTAGCAGGTAATGTGCGCGTAAAATTTATTTCATGCCTCAGTGGCTGAGAATAAGTGATATTTACAAGATTAAGAGACAGTGGTATAACTTCAGTTCTGAGTCCCCACGAAAATATTTTTGTAATAATTCTACAGAGGAAGATGGATTCCTTTATTTGACAAAACTCTACTTAATTTAAGGTATTATGTATATTATTTATCATGAGTCTTTCCAAGTTTTGTGCTGACCAAGATATATTTAAATTTTTAAACTACTTTTTAAGTATATTTAAGAAAATACGGTTGCCCCTGTGTTCGTTTCTACTGAATATGTGTAGTGTGTGCTGGGAGTGTGAATTTTCAAGAGGGAACCTATTTTTGGCAAGCTTAGCTGTGATTCTGTTGGACAATTATGTTTGAGAATTACTATATGCATAAATTTGGAAAAATTTTTAATACTTTATTTCAAAATTTGATTAGTATTTATTGTGGGATTTATTTGTGCCAGTCACTGTGCTAAGTGTTTTGAATGTATTCCTTATTTAGTCCTTATAAGGTGCTTGTACTTCTGCAGTTCTGCTGGGACATCTGCTGTCTTAGCTGGGCTTAACCTGATGGCCAGCTGGTCTAGGCTGGGCTCAGCTGATTGGTTCTACTTCAAGTTATAGGCCTAGAGGTCATTCAGAGGACTCTGTGCTGTGTGTCTCTTATGCTTGTTGTACTAGCAGGCTGCTTAGGGGATGTTCTTTTCATGGAGATGGCAGAGGTGCAAGAGTTGAGCCTTTCCTGTGTCACATGTCTAAAATCCACAAGTCCCAACCCCAAAAGTCAAGGGTGGGAGAGGAGTTACACTCAGATGTTTTAGTTGCAGAAACTGCAGTTACATGGAATGGGGTATGGATAAAGGGAGGAGCAGGGCCACAATCTGGCACATATGGAAAATAGCCCAATTATGTATCCTTATATCACACCCTAAATAAAAATAAATTCCAAATGGATTGAAGATCTAGGTGTAAAAAAATGTAAGTCTTCTGCAGACTCAGATACATATGAGAATAAGCCCTGCTTCCCTCTAAGCAAAAAACATTTGTCAGATTTTGAGGGTTCACGGAGCTCAGCTCTTCCAAAAGGAAGAACTGAACCCCCTCCCCACTCGCACCCCCACCATCTTTCAGCACCGAGGTCACAGAGGTCGGCCAGCAGAGGAAGCAGAGGTCTGGCTAAATTAAAACCCCAGAAGTAACACGTAGAGTCACAGATTCTAAGCAGAGGTGGCCTGAGTTTTATTTAGAATGCAACCCAGCCCCAACCCAGCTCAATCTCTTTATTACAATGAGATAATCACTCTCACTTTATCTGCCTAACAAAAGAAAGGTGGAAACCCTCACTGGTGAAAGATATTATCTAGTAGTGGTAGTAGTAAGAGGCAAGAAAAGAGTGACTGATAACCCAAAACAAAAACAAATAATAGGAACATATTCATGAATGATCAAAATATTGGTGATGGGAGGCAAGGACTTTAACAGATTAATACGTTAAAGAAAATAGAGGAAAATGGACAAAATGGATGAAAAGATGAGGCGTTTCACCAGAAAATTTCAATCCATAAGAAAAGAATACATTCTAGACTAAAAATAGCTGAAATTAATTACCCATAGAATATGTTTACTAAGAGATTTGACACAGCACAGGACAGAATTAGTGAACTCAAAGATTGGTCAATAGGAAAACCCAAAACACAGAATAGAATAGAGGGTAAGATAATTTGGAATGCCCATCAAAATTCTTGCAGACATTAAAAGGCTAATGAGGGGATACTGTGACTAACACCCCTTTTCCTGTTTCCTCTGGCCACAATTACCAGTTTTTCTTAGTTTTAGTGCCCCACACCCCAGGCTGTAATGCAGTTCTTCTCACCTGAGGCCACTCCAGATGAAGCACCCAGAGAAAAGAGAAAAATGGAACCACAAGAGGCCCATTTCTGGATTCCCCTGGAATCGTTTTTTCTCTTAATGTTTTAGGTAACAGCTCCGTTGAGACCATTGGTGGAGCAGTGAGGCTCTGATTGCACTGGGGCTAGCCTTTGGGCAGGGCCAAGAGACAAAAAGGAAACAAAAGACACAGGAAAAAGAGACTTCCACAGTGTGGCTTGCTGGGGCTCCCTTTCCTGATTCTCTGGCCAAAAGGACTATCTCTTGGGAGTTTTTGCTGTCCATGCCCATTGAAAAGTTCTGTAACCCAGACTGCCTTGGATAAAAGAGGAAAGAAAAATCAGGAAACTCATCATCATATTTACTGATTTATTTAATTGAAGTGTAGTCGGTTTACAATGTTGTATTAATTTTTTGTGTGAAGCCTAGTGATTCAGTTATACATGTGTATGTATATATATTCCTTTTCATATTCTTTTTCATTATAGACTATTATAAGATACTGAATATAATTCCCCGTGCTATGCGTTAGGACCTTGCTGTTTATCTGTTTTATGTATTGTAGTTAGTCATCTGCAAATCCCGAACTCCCCCTTTATCCCTCCACCCTTCAATCTTTCCCCTGTTTTTTTTTTCTGCCTGTGAGTCTCTTTCTGTTTTGTAAATAAATTCATTTGTCTCATTTTTATATTCCACATATGAGTGATATCATATGGCATTTTTCTTTCTCTTTCTGGCTTAGTTCTTAGAATTACGATCTCCAGGTCTATCCATGTTGCTACAAATGGCATTATTTTATTCTTTTTATGGCCGAGTAGTATTCCATTGTGTGTGTGTGTCTGTGTGTGTGTGTCTTCCACAACTTTTTTATCCAGTCATCTGTCGATGAACATTTAGGCTGCTTCCATGTCTTGGCTATTGTAAATAGTGTTGCTGTAAACATTGGTAGGAAACTCATCACCATATTGTTCATTCTTCCAGTTTTGACCCCCTTCTTCAACCATTCAGTCAATATAGTTTAATTTTCAAGAGTGCTCTGGGAGTTGCTTTCTGTATTTTATCCAAAGCTTGATTTTGTAATTATAGAAGAAAGTAGACTGTTGTGGCTTATCCCATCTTGGGCAGTATGAGAAATCCATGTGTTCTTTAGTAAATTTCTTTTTGTGTTCACGGTATGAAGTTTCCTCTGATGTACAGTACCTTACAGGGTAATACTAATAGAACTTACCCTACTTTATTTTAATAATTTGTCCATATATTAGTTGGTGTCTTGCACTGGACTGGGGCAGGCTGGTAGAGTGCCTGGCACATTGATGGTGCTCAGTAAATTGCTATGAATGAGTGATAGAGCAGGTCACACAGAGGCTTCACAGAGAACTTAAAAGGAAGCTGGGCTTTTAAAACCAAATGCAAATGAGAGTCTGTTTTTAGATATCTGTGGTAGTGGCAAATATTCGGTTGCTAATGTAACTAATCCAAGAGTTATTCTAAACTTAAAGAAGTCAGTCTTCCTTGCCATAGTTAATACACTTCAGAAAAATAGAATGTTTCAGAAAAATAAGGATGTATAAAGAGAAATGGACCAAAGTTAGGAGTTTCAGGAACAGTAATCATGTATTTGACCAATGAATATACCAGAATTTTTTTGTGAAAAGCTCAGTTTTTAATATTTTATTACTTTAGTCACATAATTGCCTTTATATCCATCAGATTGTATTCTCATTTTAGGTTTGGAGAGATGATGTAAGTGTATCTGATTTCCAAGCTTTTCAAACTGTATCTGCACAAAAGTCTTCACCTGACACGCCTTAAATAATATAGTTGAAGAAATGTATATAAAAATTTATATTTAAAAGGCTAAAGTTTGTAAATAGTCATTCTAATATTCCTGCACCCCTCTTTGGAGAACACTGATGGAGGGGAAAATGTTCACACTCTAATGGGGGGAAGAGTCCCCGGGCACTTTCAGAGGACACCTCCCCACCCCACGCACACCTGATACCAAATGGGAAGCAGCCCGAGTTTGGGACTGAAGCTAGTTAACTCTAGAACTATTTCAGTATGGTAGAGGTTCTCAGCCCAGGCCCTTAAGGCAAATTCTAGTGACCTCAGGTGTGAACTCACCAGGCAAGCCTGTAGGACAGCTCACTTCCCCCAAGGGCTGTGATTCCTTAGTAATTTAGCCCATCTCACAGCTTCCTGTTAGGACAGATTCTTGGCAGCTCTGCAGTTTTACACTTCACTTTTCTCACTCAATGCACTCAGACCCTCTGCCTGTTAATCTTATCTTTTTAGAGCCAAATCCTCTTAACCCTTTACCTACACTTCTTTTATTTTTCCTGTCACTGCATCAGGGTGGACACTTGAAAATTAGGCTTGTCATTTCATTCATAACATGCCTCATAGGAATTCACTAGTATCTGAGACAAAGAAGTTGGCATATTATGATCCAATCTTACTTAATACATAGATATACCAGTACATTTCATAGAAAAGCATTGGATAATATATTGTTATTGACATATAATCATCCTTCCCAAAGGCAAATAAAATATCCCCACACTGCATAGTTGTCCCTCCCCATTACTGTCCGCCACTTCCCACATACTGTAAATAGGGGTGGTCACTGAGCATGCAAAGGATAAACACC